ACACTACTCTGATAGTACCACTCCCTCACACACTCACTTCCTGAGTCAATGAGACTCATAGTGACTCTGTGGATTTTCCGAGGCTGAGACTGAAGAAAGCCGGGGTCCTTCTCCCATGGAGCTCCTGGTGTTTCAAACTGCCGACCATGCGGATTGCAGCCCAATGTGTGACCATGGCACCACCAGGGCTCCTGATAATACGACAGGAAGGGAGGAAGGGAAACTTCGCTTTCTTGTGGTGGCTTATTGGGAGCGGAGTGTGTAGGTGAGGGGCAGGTCTTTATCCACCTGCACACCCATTTTAGTGTAATTATAATCTCTGTATGGCTAGAATGTTATATTGTATATGATTCTCACTCCACAGTTTATGATAAGCATTACCATATTGTTTCTCTTCATCAGTACTAATTTACAGCGATGGCATTACAGTAGTTCAGAGCAGATAGACCCTGGTTAAATTAACCATCTCATTGTTAAATATCTCCAATTTTTGCTATTAAAAAACAACAACCCTGGATTGCATATCTTTTTGTGTATAGTTTTTTCCTCTTCTGAATAACTTCCTTCAGTGATCCCAGAGAAGAGTCAAACGATGTTTTTCTATCTTTGTATTTATTGCCATCTTATTTTCTCAAAGCATTGATATTGGTACAAATAACCCCAAACAATGTACAAATATGTCACTCTGCCACAACATTTCCAGATGGAATATTAATTGTGATTAGTACTAAAATAATACTATAGTGAGTTTTTTTAACTTTACAATTTGCATTAGTCTGGGTAGACTAGAGAAACAAATCCAGGGAGACTCATATGTGTATAACAAAGAGCTTTATATACAAGAGCAGTTGAATACTGAGAAAAAATCCCAGCCCAGTCCAGATCAACTCCATAAATCCAATATTAACTCATATGTCTGATACTAGTCCATAAATTCCTCTTCAGACTCATGAAACACATGCAATGATGATGAAATGCAGAAAGATCACAGGCCAGTGGGTGGAAGGCCTTGTGGATCCAGTGGTGGTAAAAGCATCTCAGCGCTGGCAGGGTTTCCATATGGCTCCTTCAGCTGCAGTCTCTGGCTGCATCAGTGTAGCTGCATCAGTCTGGTCCTCGGTAATGTCTCACAGGGAGTGACTGAGTGTCCCACCTCCAGCGAGCTATTTATCTCCTTAGTGCCTCCAAATGAGGTCATCAAGCTGCGACCTGATTGACAGGTAAACTCCACCCCTTCCTTCTTAATCCTCTCAAACTGACAACAGATTCTGTAACTACCACACAATTTTTATAGTGCTGTTTTACTTTCATGATTTTTGTGATTACAGAAGTAACCATCTACATAATATTTGCTATTACTATTTAGAGTATTGAAAAGCAGGAAGTTATTTTGAGGTGTGCCTGACACAAGCCTTATAGGCATGTGCAGAGCAGATATTGAATACAGAAGACCTAAGAAGAATCACATTGTGGTGCTGGAGAAGAATATTGAAAGGACTGTAAAAACAAACAAATATATCTTGGAAGAAGTACAGCCAGAGTGCTCCTTAGAGGCGAGGATGGTGAGACTTCGACACCAGTCCCTGGAGAAGGACATCATGCGTGGTAAAGTAGAGAGGCGGGGGAAAAGAGGAAGACCTTCAAGGAGATGGATTAATACAGTGGCTGCCACACTGGGATCGAGCTTAGGAACCACGGTGAGCATGCTGCTGGACCGGCTGTTTCCTTCTGTTGTGCACAGGGTTGCTATGGGTTGGAACAAATCTGATGGATGGCACCTAACAGCAACAATGAGATTATGGGTTGAATGGTGAGTTGTAAAGTAGATATTGAATATTTAACCTCGGCACTGGTGAATGCGACCTTGTTAGAGGAAATGGCATTTTTCTTTGCAGTTGTTATCAGTTAAGGTGATTGGGTCATGCCTGAGTAGGGTGAATCCTAACCCTACTCCCTTATTGGTGGCATTTTGTGAACGAGAAGGGCAGACACACACGTGGGGATAACATCATGTAAGGATTATCTACAAGCCACCGGACACTGAAAGAGGCAAGGGTGACTCTTCCCTTCACCTTGACCGAGAGAACGAGGCCCAATGAGGCCCTGAATTCAGGCTTGAAACCACTGACAGTGTGAGAAAGTATCTATTCTTCAAGGCACGTAAGCTGTGGCATTTTACATGGCAGACCTAAGACACTGTGACCCTTTACCAAGTCTATTTCTCTTGTGTGCTCTGTCTGTGCCTGTGGGCTTGATTTGGGTAGGGTTCTTTAAACATTAATTTGAATAGCTCTTTACAGATTAGTCACAGTTGGTAGGAAGAGTTCTCTAGTCTCTTATTTTTAGCCTTATGAATTCTTTGAGTGTAGAAAGCAGAATTAAAAAAAACACAGTTAATGGACTTCTCAATTGTCTCCATTTTCACTTAAGAAAAACCTCTGCTCTATCTTGTGTTTTCTTATACTTTCAACTTGTTTCTTCTTTTTTTTACCTGGGACTTAATCTTGGGGGAACTACTGCCTAGCCTCAGAGAACACTTTGACATGCTAATTTTGTTCAAACTGGTTTCTGTTGACGTCATATCAACAGGTATAATTGCTCAACAACAACACAAAAATTCAAAAATAAATTTTGGTTGATTTTACTATTTAGAATCTGCAATTAAATTTTTTTTTTTCCTTTTGGCATAGATGTACATGGCTCGTGTGTAATTTCTGTTTCCTAGCCTGATGAAGTCTTAACTTGGCCTCGGTATCTCACAGTGGCTTTGTATGTGTTCTCCACAAGGGTGCGGGGCCTTTGAAGTCAGGTCCTGAGCCCTCTCCTTGGCCCCAGTGAGCTGTAGCCTCCTGAGCTGCATGTTGGTGCAACGGCCTGGCATGCTTTCTGTCCTGATCCCTGTCTGGGTCAAGGCTTCTTGTCTTGCATCAACCATGAATTCTGGACTTACACTCTGACCAGCTGGTGTGCTCCCTCCTTCCTACATGGCAGCTGTGAACTTTAGCAGGAACTCTGTCCCAAAGTGATGGCTTGCATTTGGCTCTTCTCTGCCTATGGTGTCAAGGCCAAGACCCTGATGTTCACAGAAAAGGCGGTCGTTAATTTGCAAGTAGATTCCAAAAATATGAAGTTGAAAACACTACTGTGTGCTCCTGAGTTTGTGGGTGGTGTGAACAGGTAATGTGCCTGGCTGCTAACAGAAAGGGTGCGAGTTGGCATTCACTTGGAGGTGCCTCCGAAGAGAGGCCTGGAAATCTAGTTTTTTGGGTTTTTTTAATTAGTCATTGAAAACCCAATGGAGCAGTTCCACTCTGAGTCAACAATAGTCAGAATCCTTGATGCCGACTGGTTAACTAGTTATGTACTCCCGTGATACTCGGTCCCTATTTCTAATTCTGTCCTTATCAGATCATTATTTTATCATCATCAACATCGCCTAGTGTCCAAACTGATGTTGAATTACATTCTATGTATAACATACACACAAATAATCCCCCAGAACAATATATCAAACACTCATGTATCTGCCATCTAGATTTAGCAAATGGTAATATTCTTTTAAGAACATTGACAACACAGTGGTTAAGTAGTGCCTAAAGGAAAGGTTGGCAATTAGAACCCAATAGCCACTTGTATTAGTCTAGGTACTTTAGAGAAACAAATCCACAGCAACTCATGTATAAGAGAGTTTTATGTAAAGAAAGTGTGCATCACGAAAACATCCCAACCCAATGCTGCCCAAGCCCACAAGTCCAACATTAAGCCAACACCAGTCCACAAAGTCCTCCACCTCACAAAACAGAGGCAATGATGCCGACTGCAGGAGGAAAGCTGAGTCAGTGAACGAATAAGCATCTCAGCACTAGCAGGGGTCTCCACATAGCTGCTCCAGCACCCAGGGCTGCATCAGGATAGGTCCATGGGGCTTCTCCTTGGGGATGTCTTGTAGGAAGTCAATCTTGCCAGCTGAAGCAGGGAACTGCTAAGGCAGCTGCACCCTGGTGCAACCATCACAAAGCAAGAGACCCGAGTACTAGAAAGGCAAGGCTCACCACCCATTTATCCCTCCACCTTTCAATTAGCCCCACATGTGATTATCGGCCAGGCTGGCACAATTAACTAACTCACCACTCTACAGGAGAAAGGTGGCTGCCCATCTCTGTAGAGATGTGTGGCCTTGAACACCTATAGACAGTTTTATTTTGTCCCACAAAGGCCGCTGGGAGTTGGAATAGATTGGACAGCAATGTCGTTTGTTCTTTTTTAAAATCAAATTTATATGTTTATTAGGTTTTATGTAGAAATAAAATATTACAGATCCTATGAAAGCCTCACTTTCCCATCACCCCGCCCCCCCCCCCTCCCCCACACACACACACACACTCTTTTCCTTGATTGAGGCAAGCAGCCTCAAGACCGACGTCTCTGGAGAGCGTGTTCTCGGAGAATGGCACCAGGTCGTATTCACTGTGAATTTTTAGTTCATAGCAGTGCCCAACACAAAATAGAGATATGTATTCAAACAATAAGGGAATGAATGAATAACAGAGATTGTCTTTTCATTAATTTCCCTTATATTTTGTTTTATCTTCATATTTTGCTACCAAATAGAGGCTCTAGAAATGTTTAGAGAGCTGGGTGATTTGAAAAAAAAAAAATCTAAGAGAGCATTGTAAGAGTGATTGTGAAAGATATACTTTGGTCAAAATGTACTATCTTATCATTTTGACCCCTTTTAGAGCTGTTTCAGTTTTTAAAAAGCGAAGTCCACATTGCTTCAGCCCCAGGTGAACCCCCTCTGACCGCAGAGCAGGGATGTGCACAGCTCACTGGCATGCAGGCTGCATCGGAAGGTGGATTGTTTCAGATGCAACTGGTTAAAATGTAGCACCCTATCATTTGATCTTTCTTAGGATCCATTTAAGTTTGTTCTAGTTTTTAATATTTTTTGCTTTTTTTAGATAAAGATTTTTATGTTTTGCTTTGTTATTTTTGTTAGTTTTGTTTCTAATGTTTTTCTGTACATGGAATCCAGGAAAGGAAAATCTAGAGAGGCAGGAAATGGAGGTAAGGCAGGGGAGTTTGGGGGTGGTGGTGGGGTGGAATGGAGAGCTAATGACAATGAGGACAAGAATGAGGAAAACGTTCTAAAACTGATTGTGGTGATGATTGTATAACTCTTCTTGATGTGACTGAACTATTGGATTGTATAATACGTGAATTATATGCCAATACAAAGCAGGAGTCTCTTACTAAGAACGATTTTCCTTTCTCCTCTACATGCATGACTAGCATGCTTTGCTGTTAACTCAGACCCAAAGCTCAGGCTCAGGTGCCTTCAGGCTCTGTAAATACCCGAGTGAGAAACAATCTCGCTTAAGGAACTTAGAGTGTATGTAAAAACCAGCCTGATTGCCTCACAATTAATTTCAGATGTGGAGAGGAAAGGCTGGTTGGGGGTGGGGTGGTGCTGGTAGTGGTGGGGGTGAGTATATGTGTGTAAAGGGTGTGATGCACAAAGGTGGAAATCAACTAAACGGGTGTCATTGAAAATCGCTTGGATTTATTTCAGTGGCATTAACATTCACAGCATCTCTTGTCAGGAATATCAGCTTCAATAACTTGATACACACAGACTTGCAGACACACACACACACACACACACACACACACACAAGCGCGCGTGTTCTGTGCTCTTTCTTGGTGTGCACCTCCGTGGAATCCCTTGGGAGACCTCCAAGGACTGGGGCTTATAAGGCGGAGGAATTCGCGTTTCAGGGCTTATTCCTGGAACGATCTCATGATGAATTAAGCCAGCCAACCACACAACCCACAGCCTCTTCCATGCTTCCAGGTCTTCCTAACCACCTGTTTCCTTGGTTGAAGGATATTGATGTTTCCACACAGATTTGGAGCAAAAAGGCTCCGTTTTATTCATTTCTCTTTCTGAATGAGGAAAGCTTTTTCAAATTGAACATACTGAACAGCAAATTATCATCCCATTAAGCACTTAAAATTACAGACAGCTGAGCCAAACCTGCTATTCCCTCTTTCCCAGGATACAGTCTAACAAGCCAGCTCCAAATTCCAGATGAACCATTTGCTTAGCTCGGATAGTGATTTACAAAACCCAGAGATTTGCTTCAAAGCCCTTTGAGAGGCAGTCTGAAAATGGTAGGCTATGCCTTTGGGACTCTGTGACAAGAAGTCTTCTAGTAGAGTTCTTGGGTGCTTGTTGGTTTGGGTGTCCGACCCTAGCAGTTGGTGGTATCAGAAAGGAGTCCCGCACACTGGTTCACTGATTGTGGTAGTTACATAATCTGTTGTCAATTTGAGACTTAAGGGGTGGAGTTTAGCCTGTCAATCAGGTCGCAGGTTGATGACCTCATTGAAGGTGCTAAGGAGCTAAATAGCTCGCTAGAGATGGGACACACACACTCCCTGCAAGACATTTCTGTGGAGAAGACACATGGAGCTATGTGAGAGCACTGGAGCTGGAGCAGCCACACCAGCGCTGAGATGCTTCCACTGCCACTGGACCCACAAGACTTTCTACCCACTGGGCTGTGATCTTCCTGCATTTGGTGTCATTTATGTGTTGCGTGAGTCTGAAGAGGAATTTATAGGTTGGTATCAGACAAATGGGTTAATATCGAATTTATGGACTTAATCTGGACTGGACTGGGATGTTTTCTGAAAATTCAATTGCTCTTCTATGTAAAGCTCTTTCTTATACATATATGAGTGTCTATGAATTTGTTTCTCTAATCTACACAGACTAACACACGATTGCATTGTGGAATGACATTTTCTGTCTCTTCTGTTGCTTCTGCCTCCAGAACAATTGTTACCAGATACAGGTCTCAATTCAGTATGAAATTCAGTAAAGGTGACCAAGCGGAGGATGGATGTGTGTTCATTTTCATGTATGCATTTAACAGGAACTGAGCATCTACTCCACTATGTTCTTGGCACTATACCAACCATAACGGCTTAAACGATGAATAAAAAACAGTTACTGCTCCCTGTCTTCAAGTGAGGGTTCAAGTAATTCAAGTGGAAGAAGCACATCACCCTGTGTGATCCAAGAACTGTAAATATTAAAATCCAAATCCAGAGGAGAGAATGGTATTAGAGCTTATATTGTGAACACCTGGTTTACAGAAGGCTATGAATGACAGTGGAACCCCAAAATATACCTGCAGGGTCCACATGGATTAAGCTTCTTGTAAATCCCCTCTAACTATAGTTGAGGGATGTGACTAGCCTTGTTATCCTTCAGAGAGCATTGCATAGCCAATCATGGCAGATGTAGTTAGGTTAAAATGTAATATTTTATCATTTGTTCTTCCTTTTGACTCATTTTAAAGTTGTTTCAGTTAAAAAAAAAAAAAGAAGGGGAAATACACGTGGATTAAGCGCTGGGTGAATTCCCTTTGACCATAGGCCAGGGAGGCGAATAGCCCTGCTATCATGCAGAGAGCATTGGAAAGTGGGCTATTGCAGATGCAGTTAGGGTAAAACTCAACACCTTATGCTTTGATTTCCCTTTTCACCCATTCAAAAATTGCTCTGGTTTTAAATATCTTCTGCTTTCGTTTTGATTGAGGTTTTTCTCTGTTATTGTTGTTAGTTTTTTTGTTTTGTTTTGTATGCTTTTTGTATGTGAAAATCCAGTCCAGGTAAATCTAGAGAGACAATAAGCAAAACAAAACAAACTAAAAACCAGCTACTTACTACCTGCATGCAACGCACAGGCTGGCAAAGAAGGGAGCTGAAGACAAAGGACCCCACGGCCTGTCCTACGAAGGACGAAGGTCCTGGAGGAGATGGATTGACCTCAGGGCTGTCGTGCTGCCGCGAGGGCCCAGGCAGGGGACAATGGTGAGGATGGCACAGGGCCGTGTAGTGCTTTGTTCTGTCGTGCATAGACAGTGTGCCCATGGATCACAGCCCGCTTGATGGCACCTAGCAACAACAACAACATACAAGAAACTGGGGCAAGATTCCATCCTCTGGTCTCCATGTCAAGCAGTTTCTAAAGAAAATAAGAAACTCTTCCAAAAAGCATTTATTCTCCATCCTCACAAATAGCAAAGATGTAATTATGATCTACAAAGGCTAAATGAATAGCCATTCATGATGCAAGGCATCTTCAGGAATTCCAATTTCCCCCTCTATCAGTTTTCTAAGGCCACTATAGTGCCTTAGGAACAAAGGCACAAAGCATGACAAATTGGGTGATTTATACACACAGAGAGTAACAGGGGTGGCATAGTGGGTCCTGAGTTGAGCTGCTAACTGCAAAGTCAGTATTTTGAACCTACCAGCAGCCCCAAGGAGGGGGCGGGGGGAACGATAAGCCATTCTCCTCCTGTAAAGAGTTATAGCCTTGGGAACCCTATACAGGGACACTATGACTGGACTCAACTCGACAGCAGTGAGTTTATAACACAGAAATGTTTTTCCTCACTGTTCTGGAAGTTAGGGGTTGAAATCAAAAGGTTGTCCATGTTGATTTCTTCTGAGGGGCCGGAGGGAGAAGCGGTTTTATTTTTCTGTCTTAGCTTGTGGCAATGGCTGGCATTCCTTGGATTGTAGCTGCATCACTTCACTCTCTGCCCTGCCTTCACAGAGCCATCTTTTCTCGGTGTGCTTCTTTCTGTCTCTTCTACTCTTCTATGAGGACACCACTTAGGTCGGACTAAGGAGCCCTGTAGCACAGTGATGATGCACTGGGCTGCGATCTGCAAGTTCTGAAGTTTGAAACCACCAACGACTCTTTGGGATAAAGATGGGGCTTCCTATTCTCATAAACAGTTGCAGTCTTGGAGACCCACTGGGGCAGTTCTGCCCTGCTCTCTGGGTCGCTATGAGTTGGCATTGGCTCGATGACAGTGAACTTGGTTTGGGTAGGTGGGATAAAGATCCACTGAGTTTTAGCTGATAACATCTTTCTAAACTGTATTTCTCAGCAAGCTCACGATTATAGACATTGAAGGTTAGGACTTGAACATGCATTTTGGCAGGGGGCACAGTTCAATCTGTAACACCATTTCCCCTGTTCTGATACATGCCTTCCCTGTGCACTGCAAATGAAATGGATTTACTTGTGCTGATAGAAAAATCTGACCAGTATGTCAATTAGAGTTCAACGTTTTTATCGGACTGAAAAACAAGACAAAATAAGACAAAACTGCCTGTGAGCAGGGAGCAGATCCCGGGAGAAATGAGCCTGTCACATTACAATTTCGACCAGCTTATATGTAATGCAGAAAGAAGCCCTGGTGGAGCTGTATGCTGTGTGTTGGGCTGCTAACCACAAGGTCAGCAGTTTGAACCCACCTGCTTCTCCACAGGAGAAAGATGAGGCTGTCTGCTCCCATAGAAATGTATAGCTTTGGAAACGCAAAGGGTTTCTCTTCTGCTCTACAGGTTCACGATGAATCTGAATGGACTGGACAGTGATGACTTTGATTTGGTTTGGTTATACACAGCACAAACTTTTGAGGAATTCCAAAAGGGAAAGCTGAAATGATTGGTTGTTGGTAGGACGTGGCTTAATTTTGCTTGTGCATTCTAAAGGTTGAGGAGACCTGGTGGCGTAGTGGTTAAGTGTTGGGCTGCTAACCCTAAGGTCAGCAGTTTGAAACCACCAGTTACCCTGTGGGAGAAAGATCAGACTTTCTACTCCTGTAAAGTTACAGTCTTGGAAACTCACAGGGGCAGTTCTGCCATGTTCTATAGGGTCCCAATGAGCCGGCATTGACTAGATGGCAGGGAAGGAGTGGGCATTCTATAGGTTTGTTATGGCTTACCTAACTATTGAAACATTTCCAAAAACTGTCTTCAGCATGGGATTTTAGCGAAGACTTATGTTTAAATGGGGCAGATTGTGAGAGCCATTGTCTTCAACAGTGCTACCACCCATAAATACATATGCACCTGCCCCCTTCTGCTCATGTCCTTCCAAATGGAATCCTTCTGCCCTATTTTTTATTTTGTTTTGTTTTGTTTTGAAATCTTACCAGTACTTCAAAGCCAAGCCCACTTTGCCTTGGGCTCCT